TTTACAAAAGTTGATGATTTCAACACTTTTCTTGATTTTTTTCAAGATGTTGCAAGAAAATTCATAACAAATGTATTTAGACTAAGTACTTAATAGTATAATATTTCGGTACAAATAATTTCATACTTTCTTTTCATATCTTATGGTGCATATAATGTTTATTTATATAGATATCATTGATGAAAACTTTACAAAACTATTTTTGATCTAGTTTGGGCTTGAGGAATCAAAGAACACTTGAGCTTTAGTTTCTTTTAAATGATAATGTAACTTCTTTGCTGTTTTGTCATTGTTGTTTCTTTTTTTTTGTTTAAAATTGTATTTTCTTTCGAAATTTGCACATATGTTTTTCAATATCTTTTTCAAAATCTACCTGTGTAACATCCTCAATACCGAGTTAGTGATTAAATTGTAAAATTTAAGAAGTTTGTGACTTAAGTAGAATAATTGAATAGTTTAAGGACTTATATGAGAAATGTTGTAAAGGATCAAATAAAGAAGGAGGAATTGAAGGACAAAATGATAATTGGTAAGAAATAATTAAATTGTTATGGTTGTATATATAACCCACGTGGAATGAAGAGGGGAGTACACAAAAGTTTTCAGAGTTCTCTTCTTCTTCATCTTCTTTCATACTTGAGAACTAAGCCAAAGGTGAGATTTCTTGTTAGTTAATTTCTTGATGAATTTAAGGTTGGTTTATGATCATTAGATGATAACTAAACTTAAAGAAAGCTTAAGTTATCTTAAAATCAAAAGATGATGGAGTTAGGAGAGATTGAAGATTAGGATTTCTTGGATGAAATTTTGGAATAGAGTTCATAGATAGAATTAGAAGTTAAATTTGACTTGTCATAAATATAATTAAGACGTATGAAGTGTTAGAATTGGAATTGGAACATGTTGCAAAGTTGGTGTAATTCTTGAATTACATATGGAGGATAGGATTTTGAGGTTAAAGAGGTGATTAATGAGTAGAAATGAGTTTGAGTATGAGTAGGTGAGTTAGGAATATGTGAAGGTATATAATATGAAGTGTTTGAGCCGGAATGAAGTGATTTTCGTGCTTAAAATGTGATTTTCTGGGTTAGGGGTATCGGTACACATTCAACAGGTACCGATACCTCAAGAGTAAAATTCAGGAAGATATTCGAAGAGTATCGATACCTTAAGGAGTGTATCGATACCCCCTTGAAACAAAAAAATTCGAATGTAATTTGGGTATCGATATCTAGGCAGTGTACCGATACCCAGTTGAGGGATGTATCGATACCTTGTAGAGGGTTATGATACCTACTTTAGATAAGAAATGAAATTTGCCTTTCCTTTAGTCTAAGAAAAAAAAGATTAGAGTATGTCCATTAGAATACTGATATGGATCCATGTATGATTATGTAGATATTGAACATAACCCTTTTCCGAAACAATCGAAGAATTAGAAACGGTCGAGAGAGAGAAAGTGCTAGAATCAAGCAAAGCTAAGGTGAGTGCATACCCTATATAGAATCGTATGGAGATAAGACTTACGATAAGTCTATCTCTTATAGTTGAATTTATGATTTTATATTCATGTATATGCATATATATATATATATATATATATATATATATATATATATATATATATATATATACTGTTATAATGATTTCATGCATAATTCATCCATGCTTTAATATGATATTATATGAATGAATGCCATTATAAGAGAATCAATCCAGGTATGTGAAATAATGGAAGTGATCATATGTGTGCATGTGAAGTGAATTATGTGTTTATATGAAAAATGATAAAAGAGATATGAAAATGAGAAATGTTTCATATTTAAGCCCATGTTATTTAATATGAGAGATGTAGGTATAATTGACATGCCAAGAGTCGAGGGATTATCAGTGGTCCTTCGGGACATAGTGGTCCTTCGGGACAAATATTCAGTGCCCCTAGTGGGAATTTATTCGAGCTGTGGTGACAACATTCGTGCACAACCTCAATGTACTCACGTACCTTCTGTTCTCAATAATGTACATGGACATTTAAAGATAAATTGAATGAAAATTATTATAAGAAGTTAAAGTTTATATGTGCATATCATAATTCTATATGTCATAGTTTATTTAATACATCTACATTGCATGGTCATTATGGATTGATAATAGTGCATGTTCATGAATCTATTGTTATATGTTCATTTCATGCATCACTAAGTCTGTGACTTAGCGAGTAAGTGATTTACATGTAGATGCCAAGAAACAAGAAGATCCGAAATAAGAGTGGCAAAGACAGCATAACTACTAGAAGATCAGATCAGAAGTAATTGACAAAGTATGTGTTTTGTTGTATTTAGTGTGTTGGCATGTAAACAATTTGTTAATTACAAATGCTTTGATCGATTTTTTATTGTTCTTGTCAAACTTTTGTATGTTAACAACTTTTATTGTAATGGAAGTTCAAAATTTCCTTGATTTTCTTTAAGAGTCAAAGTTTGAAAAGTCAATGTGACACCTCGGACTCGTATCCGGGTTGGATATGGGTTGGGGGTGTTACAACCTGTGTGTTTAGGATTTGTTTTAGTGTGGTTTTTGTTTTGCAAGGAAGGTGATTTAAATACAGTGTAGGTGGTGGGATGTTTGGAAAAAATAGAAATTAGAAAGATTTTAGGGGTGAATTAGATATAAAACCATTGTTCAAAGATCTGTTTGATGTTTCAGCAATAATTTAAGGGTAAAAATAAATATTAACCTTTTTGTTAACATTACCACATCATTAATTTAACGAATATGGCGGTGGAGACTATTTTATTACAAATCGATAATATTAGTGATCGATTTGTTATTTTTGAAACTTTAGTGAAGAAAATGAAAACTTAAACACTTAGTGACCGTTGGTGTAGTTTACCTTTTTTTGCTTCTCATCAAAGCATTTGTACTTTAGATCTCAACCGTCCATTTTCTTCCTATAACTCCAATTTCTCGCCACTCATTCCTCCTCCATCTGTCACTAGCCGCCTCTCGTCAACGCTTCTTGTGTATTTGCATCTTTGGTGATTGGAACGTTTTCTTTTTATCCTAAAACCGGCTTATGTGCAGCTGGTGGAAGCAGCAGAGGCCGAAGACAAAGAAGGGGAGAGGATGTAGTCCATCCCCTCGAAGTATCTTTGGAGGATCTTTACAATGGGACATCGAAAAAGCTTTCTCTTTCACGGAATGCAATTGGCTCAAAATGCAAGAGGTTAATGTTTGAATCAAGATGATGTTTGTGGTATTGCTAGTGGTTAGGCTAATTCGATGTTGGTCTATGTAAACGGAAATTGTTTTACGTTAAAATTTGCAGTAAAGGGTCTAAATCAGGTGCATCAATGACATGTTCGGGTTGCCAAGGCTCTGGAATGAAAGTCTCGATTCGGCAGATTGGTCCTGGGATGATACAACAAATGCAGCATCCTTGCAATGATTGTAAGGGCACTGGTGAGACCATTAATGACAAGGATCGTTGCCCACAATGCAAAGGTGATAAGGTTGTGCAAGATATAAAGTCTTGGAGGTCGTTGTTGAAAAGGGTATGCAGAATGGACAGAAGATTACTTTCCCGGGAGAAGCTGATGAAGCTGTAAGGCTAATTTATATATTAAATAAGAATGCAATTTCTTAATGTATAATGTATCCGCTGCTTTCTAACTAACGTGGTTGATTGTGCCATTTTTTCTCTTTTGCAGCCTGACACAATAACTGGGGACATTGTATTTATCCTACAGCAGAAAGAGCATCCAAGATTCAAAAGAAAGGCTGAAAGGGTGAAGACTTATTTCTTGAGCATACATTGACACTTACCGAGGCCCTTTGTGGCTTTCAGTTCATAATGACTCATTTAGATGGGAGGCAGCTCCTATTCAAAACCCAACCTGGGGAAGTTGTTAAGCCTGGTGAGGAATTTTCTTTTCCTTTAATTATAAATATCTTTACAGTTTTTTAATTTAACAGTTGTGTCATTAGCCGTCTGTTGACTTTTTCAATATCCGTTAGTTGATATTGATCTTTAGAAAGCCTGTCCTGGCCTTATCTAATATCAGCGTTGATTTCCCTTTGTTTGACATAGATCGATACAAAGCAATAAATGATGAAGGAATGCCGATTTATCAGAGGCCGTTTGTGAGAGGTAAACTGTACGTTCACTTCACCGTTGATTTCCCAGACTCCTTGACCCCGGACCAATGCAAGGCACTAGAGGCTGTACTGCCGCCCAGGACCTCAGTCCAGCTGACTGACATGGAGCTGGATGAGTGCGAGGAAACAACTTTGCACAATGTTAACATGGAGGAAGAGAAGCGTCGAAAACAGGCACAACAAGCTCAAGAGGCCTACGAGGAAGACGAAGACATGCATGGCGGTGCCCAGAGGGTGCAATGCGCTCAGCAATGATAAAACCGAACATCCTAGACAGATGGGGGGGGGTTTTCGGCGAATGAAATGACCGACCAGCCTGAAGTGAGAATTAAGATACATTCTCGACATTGTTGTGGTTTCTTATTCCATTTTTAGTTCAAGTTTTTGGTAGTTGAAGTGGTGTTCTAGGCTTTGAAAGCTGATGGTACTTTTTAAGAATGCAAAGATTTAGGTTTGGATCTTGACTTAAATGTTGTGGTGATGCAACCTTTTATTTCCTTTAAGATGGTTTTTTTTTTCTATTTAAACTTAGAAAATTCTACAGGATTGTTTTCCCATGTACACGGCAGTTTCACAAATGCAGATATTTTAAGAGATTTCAACATGTGTCAGCATTAAATTTTAATGATATGGTATTACATTTGGTACTTAATTTGATTTTTAAAGGCATTTGCTTGTGTTCATAATTTATTAAAAATTGAAAATAAAAATACACATACGGAAAATAAGGTTCAAACTTGAAAGTGACATGTCCCAAGTGACAAGAGTAGCATCAAGATTGTCCTCGGATAGGAGCTTCTAAGCATTTTTTTCCTCTCTTAAACAAAGAGTAAGATGAAGGATTTATGTGAAAATGCCACCAATTTCAAAGAATTGTTATTTGAACCGTCGTCATGTCCAAGAGAAACAAAGGCAAAAGTTATTAAAAGAAACAAAGAAGAGATGAACATCATTGCCTATGCTTAATGCTCACTCCATCCAATTTAACCACAAACATTTCTCAGAAACAAAGGAGACTCAGCCATTTGAGAGAGCAAATCAGGTACCTTAAACGAGTCTTATAGATAGGAAACTACATCAGAGATCTCAACAATTTACACTTCTAACTAGGTGGAGGAACCAGGACAGGTACTGACCTTCTTCAGTAGTCCCTTAATCTCGTTCTCGAGCTTTGCCTTCATCTCTGGAGGCAGGTTATCCCCAGATTTATTGAGCACTGATGTCATCATCTCAAGATTCTGCCTCATAAAATCAATATTAGGAGGTGTTTCCCCAAGGAGAGGCACCGGCACTGGACTAGTAAGATTTGCAGGCAAACGGAATCCCTCCGTGCGTTTATTAGTTAGAATAGAGTCATTCTGGAGGTGGCATTTCTTAAGCGATGCGCCGAAAGAATTGCTCTCCTCTAGACTCTGCAATGCTTTTGCAGCATCTTCACTTTGCATGAAAACAACCCGGGCACTACTAGAATCTTTAAATATCTGAAGCTCTGATTCCTTCAAGGGCCCGAACCTGGAAAATGTTGCATCCAAAACTTCTTTTGAAGGCATGGAGGCACCAGGGGTGAACGTCAAGAGAAGAGTGGTTGCAGGGGCTTTTCCACTTGCCCCTGCTCCATTGTAATTTAAAATCATATTCGGAGTGCCCAAAATAACCTCCCCTTTCTTCCTCCTCTTCCTCTTCCGCGCAGGGTTTTCTGTAGGCAGAACACTGTTTACGTCCTGCAAATCTTTTGTCGATGTATTGGGTTCTGTACCAGTTCCATTTAGATCAGGTATGTTTGAAGTGGGCGTAGGGCTCAGAGGGCCATATTGCGCTTTTGGCTTCCTTCCTCTCTTCTTCTTACCTGGCTTACTTTCAGATGCAAATGAAACCATGTTTGGTCCTGTTTGAGGCACAGTGCTTCCACCAGAATCAGGCAGACCAAAATTTAGCCCCTCTCTGTTACTTTGTTCAGCAATTGTTTTCACGGAATGTGGGCCAATTGCCTGAAAATCTAACAAAACCGATCCGGAGCTTGCATTATTTTTGTTTGCAATAAATGAGCTTGGAGTTATACTACCATTTCCATTCAAATCTGGTATGTTAGTAGCTTCTTTAGTATCTTGATGGGTTTGTTTCCCGTTAGGTGCTTCAGAGGCCGTTACTTCAGATGCTTTCACTGATAAGTTACATGGCACGAAATTAATATTCCCGTCTAATGTGCCTGAAAGAGATTTAATGTTTGATGCTGCTGAGGTTGTAGGCTTCTTTTTCTTTTGCCTTTTATTCACGGGAGGAGTGAGGGGTGAGGAAGTAGGCTTTATTTGAAGTGGATCGTTCCCCGACAAGGAAGGATCTGTAACAGTAGCCTCTTTCTGAGTAGCCATATTCTTGCATTGCATCTCATAGATGGATTCATCATGATATGCTGAAATTCTGAATCTAGAGAAGAACCACTCAATCAGATCAAAGGTTTTATTTTCGGTTGAAAACAGGAAATCAACAGCTAGAAAATGTAGCTCAGAAAGCAGTTCAGCAGAAGAAATACTGCTGAGCTCCGGATAAGCAGTTACACTATTTCCTCTTATGAATTTCCTATACCATGTTTTCTGGAACTTCTTTGCACTTCTTTTGTCACAGGAAGAAAACCCGATAAATTCATTAACCCCCTCATGAAGAACTTTCAAAGCTACAGGATCTTTTGTTTCACCTGAAACATAGGGATACGACAAGTACTTGCTCTTGCTCTTCCTTCGTTCTGTCAACTCATAGCCCGATTCATTTCTTAATTCACTGTTATCATCGAAATTTTTTACAGAAACTTTTCTCTTTCTCTTCCTCGAAGTCAAAGCCTGTTTGTTTGAGAAAACACCTTTTGCGGCAATGATGACTCCACAGCTCTCTGGAAAAGCCCCACTTTTCTCATCTGAAATCTTGGCCAAAACCCCATTATGACTGAGTATCATCTCATCCTTCATTACATCAGATTGTTTCAACAAGAATTCATACGGTATGCTGGTTTTTTCAGCGTTCTCTGCATCGTATGTCGTTTCCCATAGTTGATGCAAGGGAAACTGGAAATGTCCTTTGGAACAGAAAAATGCTGACAAATAGCTCTGTAGGACAACAAACTCAAGCATATCAGGCACTGTAACAATCTGTGCAAGATTTTTGAGTTGACAAAGAAACTTCACAGGCTCAAACCGATGGGCAGAAAACTCCGCCAATTGACTGGTTTTGCACTCTGCCATGGAAGCTCCTTCCTTAGTAGCGGAGTTACTATTTAAGAACTTATTTTCATTCGGAACACAAGAACATGTGAGCTCTAGTTTCAGGCGCTTCCCGAAATCATCCATAGCCTTCTCGACTGCACCAAGAAAGCTTCTAGCTTTGTTCTTTCTAATCATCTGATCAAAGTTCACAAGGAAAGGCTTCAACTGAGAAGGGCAACACCAAGCAACATGGCTAATACCAAAGTACCCAACCAGCAAGCAGTTTTTCTCGTCACCAATCAAAGCATACTCCGGGGCATCTGAAGGTTCTAAGATCTTTCCAGGCCACCAACTCAGACTTTTTGTTCTAACCCAAACAATATCAGCTACATAAAACTTATGCTCTGGTCCAACAATTACCAACTCCCCCTCGTTTCTGGATTCCTTCAACTCATCCTCAATTGCAGTTAACCCAGTGCTGTTTACTTCATTTACAGTTCCCGAAAAATCCACATAAAGCGATATGTTGTCTCCGGAAACTTGTACCTTATTAACCAAATCAACTCCATTAATCCCCAAACAATCCTCTTCCTTCGTCCCCTCATCCGTAACAGGTTCGACAACCGCATTGTCCCCACCTTCACAATCTACTCCAACCCCAATTCGATCGTCTCCATCATCCAGTAAACAACCTCCTGCAGCGTCAATAACAATTGCACCATTCTCTTCTACATCCATGGCTAAGCTATTTCCTACAACAGCATTACCATTTTCTTGAAGCTGAACATCAAAAATGGAGTCTGACACATTACTACTTTAGATCAAAGTGGGCAAATCAGGAGCTTCATAACCCTCCCCTAAGAGTTCCAAATCTGGGTTTTTTGATTCTAACCTTTCTGGGGGTTTAGCGTTCTGCATTATCACTATTCTCTAAGCATCTGATAAAGAGAAAGAATTCAAAAGCCTTTCATTCAAATAAAAATGATTAACACATATTAGCCTAAAAAACCCAGAATTTAAAAAAGATATTATCTTTACCTGAGAGAAAGAACAAGTGAAAGAAAAAACATCTGGGCATTCACAGTGAGAACTGAGTTGACGACGAGTCAAAATGATTCATACAGCCGAGTTGAAAAAGAAGGTTTTTGGGTAAGTGGTAACTGGTAAAGGGAGATTTACTAATAAATAAATGAGAGAGGGAAAGAAGATTATGAGATTCTGAAAATTAGGCAAATTTTTACTTTATCGAATAGATGAAAAGAGAGAAAAAGATGGGTGAAGTACACTAGAAGTCACTAAATTATTCTGAAATGATCAATTTGGTCAATGAATTTAAAAGAATTATAAAAGGATCGTTATATTTATGGCTTAATACAAAAATAAATGTATAAACTATATCTCGAAATATAATTCGGTGCCTAAAGAATTTTCACTAAAAATAGGTGTTTACTGTTTTTTCCATTATACTTTTAGGTATCTACAAACTATTATTATATTTTTAAATTTTTAATAATAAAAATATTTTTATTAAAAAAAACCCCTCTCCCTTTTTCCATGTTCTCCTCTCCTGCAAACAGCCAAAGGCCGACTACCAGTCTACCACGATCAACCAAACGGTAAACAATTGACTGTTGTATCTTATCAAACGACAATTATCACAACTGAAGGGATTTTATGGAATTCGAATCCTAAAATGAAATATTTCATTATACTGTTTTTAGGTGTTCGATCGGTTATGAAAGTATGTGAGTTTTAGTCGTAGGTGGTTAGCCAGTCACACGTCGACAGATGTTCGACCGAATGACAACGTTGGTGGCTGCTTGCGGTGGCAAAGGGATTAAAATAAGTTCTAAAAATTTTAGGGTTTTTTTTAAATTAAAAAAAAGTTTTAATTTTGATAAAAATATATTTTTATTTTAAATAACAATCCTTAAAATTACCAAAAAGTAAAGATTTTTAATGACGATTAACATCTAGAGACTTAAAAATGTAACACTAGAAACATTAGACACTTATTTTTAACGAAAAATTCTTTAGACACCAAATCGTATTTGAGGTATAATTTAGACATCTATTTTTGTATCAAGCGTATATTTATCAAATGCTTAATTATAAAATAACTGCTCAAGTTATATTACTTTTTTTTAAATAAGTGCCAAAACTTTTTTTATTCATCTAGGTATCTAACTTTACAAGCGTTATCATTTTAAGTGCTCAAACCATAACGACCGTTACCCACTCAGTTTGAAGCTTTTAAATTTTCATATAATTTAATATTTTTTTTTATTTTTTATTGATAATATATTTTGTCCACTTAAATTTTATAAATTCGTCCCGTATCATAAAAAAGATAACATGGTTGAAGAGTGGTTTAATGGCATAAACATGGACGTTTAATGCGAACATGAAGAGATTCATGTCATGGCTGCTGCTTGATACAATAAACTACACTTTCTCTTGAATTCACATTTAGAGAGAGCAGGTCCCAAAATGTAAGAGCTAACAAGAGAACAAAACATGGAACCTCTAACACAAAAGAGTCTACTGATAAAAAAGTAAACTACATATAAACCACTGCAATTTACAGTTCTAACTAGGACATGATCTGACCTTTTTCAGGAGTGCTTTAACCTCACTCTCTAGTTTCGCCTTCGTCTCGTGAGAAAGATTATCCCCTGATTTCTCTAGCATTTGTGTCATCGTCTCGAGATTCCGCCTTATAAAGTCAATAGGGGGTGCATCAGCAAGGTGAGGCACTGGACTGGTAAGACTTGCAGGCAACCGGAATCCCTCCATGCGTTGAGTAGTTAGATTAGTGTCATTCTGAAGGTGATATTTGGTAAGAGTTGCACCGAAAGGATTGCTCTCCTCCAAACTCTGCAATGCTTTTGCAGCATCTTCACTTCGCATAAATATAACCCGGGCACTACTAGAATCTTTAAATATCTGAAGCTCTGATTCCTTAAAGGGCCCAAACGTGCAAAATGTTGCAACCAGGGTTTCTTTTGAAGGCATGAAAGAACCAGGGGTGAATGTCAAGTTAAGAGAGGTAGCAAGATATTTTCCACTTGCCCCTGCTCTATTATAGTTTACAATTATATTTCGCATGCTTAAACTAGCCTCTCCGTTCTTCCTCCTCCTCCCCCTCTTCCGCACGGATTTCACTTCAAGTGAAGCATTGTTTGCCTCCTGGTTTGGATGGCCGGATAGCACTTTTGACTTTCGTCCTCTCTTCTTCTGACCTGCCTTAAATTCAGATGCAAATGAAACCATGTTTGGTCTCGTTAGGGGCATGATGATTCCACTAGGATCAGGTAACCCCTCTCTGTTACTTTGCTCCGAATGGCTCACTTGTAAATCTTCAGCCAATGGGAAGGATATAGCACCTTTCCCATTTAAATCAGTTAGGTTACCAGCCACTCTGGTCTGCTGATCAGCAAAGTTCAGTATTCACACCCGACATGCTAGAAAGAGATATAGCGTTAAATGTACCAGAACTCGGAAGCTTCTTTTTCTTTCGCATTTTATACCCAGTAAGGCATGAGGAAGTAGGCTTCAATGCAGTAGCTGGCAAGGAAAGATTGGTAGCTGTAGCCTCTTTCTGGTTAGCCATATTATTGCAGTGCATTTCATAAATGGATTCATCATGATATGCTGAAATTCTAAATCTGGAAAAGAACCATTCCATTACATCAAAGTTACTTTCGGTTGTGAACAGGTGATCAATAGCTACCAAATGTAGTTTAGAAAGCAGTACAGAAGAGGATGTATAGTCGATCTCTGGATAATCGGTAACATCACTTGCTGTGATGAATTTCATATGCCATGATTTCTGGAACCTCTTTGCACTTCTTTTGACAGCTGAAGGAGACCCGATGAATTTATTTACTCCCTCGTGAGGAAACTTCAAAGTTATAATATATGATCTTCGGTTTCATTTACACCTTTATTTTCCTGGTTAACGTAGGGATATGACAAATACTTGCTCTTCTTTCGTTCTCTTAACTCAAAGCTCCGGTCAAGCCCTTCAAACTGAATGCTGTTATTTGTCACTTCAAAATAAATTTTCCTCTTTCTCTTCCTTGAAGTCGAAGCCCATTTGCTTGAGCAGTTCTCCAGAAATGCACCTCCATTCTCATCTGAGATCTTGGCCAACACCTCATTCTGTTTGAGCTCGGAAATCTCGTTCTTTCTTACATCAGATTGTTCGGGCAAGAACTCAAATGAGAAGTTATTTTCTTCAGCTAAACCAACATTGACATCTTTTCCACTAATTTAACTGCCACCAGCACTGTCTGCATCATATGTAGGTCCCCAAAGTTGATGCATAGGCAATTGGCAATATCACATGGAGTGGTAAAAGGCCGACAAATAGTTCTGTAGGACAATAAACTCGAGCATACCAGGCTTAGAAACAACCTGTGCAAGATCTTTTATTTGATAAAGAAACTTCTGAGGCTCAAACTGAACGGAAGAAAGCACCCCCAATGGACTAGATTTGCATTCTGCCATAGAAGCTCCTTCGTTAGTAGCGGAATTACCATATAATAACTTATTTTCTTTCAGAACACAAGGACATGTCATCTCCAATTTCAGGTGATTCTCTAAATCATCCATAGCCTTCTCAACTGCACTGAGAAAGCTCTATCTTTGTTCTCTCCAATCATCTGATCAAAGTTCAAATGGAAAGGCTTCAACTAAGATGGGCGACACCTAGCAACATGGCGACTACCAAAATACCCAACTAGCAAGCAGTTTTTATCGTCACCAACCAAAGCATAGTTCGGCTCCTCTGAATGATCAACAATCTTTCCGGGCCACCAACTCCGACTTTCGATTCTAATCCAAACAATATCACCTTATGCTCCTGCCCATCAAGCATTAACTCCTCATTTCTAGGTTCCTGCAATTCCTCATGTATCATTAACCCACTACTGATTACTTCATTTAAAGTACCTGTAAAGTCTACATAAAGGGATATGTTGTCTCCAGAAACTCGTATCCTCTTAACCAAATCAACTCCGTTAATCCCTGAACGATCATCTTCTCTTGTCCTCTGGTCCTTAAAAGTTACTACAACCGCATTGTCCATAATTCCACCATCAATTCTTACTTCCAACCTCTCATCTGATCCAGCCGCTACAACACCGATATGATCCTCTATCTTTTCATCAACTCCATCAATAAGTCTACATAAAAAACTTGAAAAGTTGACATAAAGTGATATGTTGTCTCCAGAAACTTGTATCCTCTTAACAGAATCAACCCCATTAATCCCCAAACAATGATCTTCGATTGACCCCTCATTCTTAGCATGTTCTACAACCACATTGTCCTCACTTCCACTATTCACTCTTACTTTCAACCTCTCATCTGATCCGGCCACTATGACAGCAATAAGATCCTCTCGTATCCTATTAACTGAATCAACTCCATTAATCCCCGATCAATGATCTTCCTTTGACCCCTCATTCTTATCATTTTCTACAACCACATTGCCCTCACTTCCACTATCTACTCTTACTTCCAACCTCTCATCTGATCCAGCCCCTACTACACCGATACAATCCTCTTAACTGAATCAACTCCATTAATCCCCAAACAATGATCTTCCTTCGATCCCTCATTCTTATCATTTCCTATAGCCACATTGTCCTCACTTCCACTATCTCCTTTGACCTCTCGTTCTTATCAATTTCTACAAACACACCGTCATCACTTCCACTATCTAATCTTACTTCCAGCCTCTCATCTGGCCCGGGCACTACGAAACCGATATGATCCTCTTTATTTTCATCAACTCCATCATCCAATAAACCTTCTACAATGCCGATAAGACCGCCACAATTTTCTTTTACATCCATAGCTAAACTATCTAGTCCAAGAGCATTACCATTTTCTTGAATCAGAGTATCCAAAATGGAGTATAACCCATTACTACTTTCACTAAAAGTAAGCCAACCAGAAGTTTTTTCTAAGAGTTCCAAATCTGGTTTTTTACTCCTAGGGTTTCTAGGGGTTTAGGGTTCTCCATTATCACTATTCTCCAAACATCTGATAGGGAAAAAAAGCAAAGCTTTAGTCTTACAGTAGCACCATTCATTTAATTGAAAATAACAATATCAAATGGGGGGAAACACAAAATTGAAAAGATAAGATTAATACTACCTGAGAGTGAAAAATGTAAAACAAATCTGATCACACCGAGTCAATGACGAGTCAACATGATTCACTAACCCGAGTTGAAAAGAAAGTTTGAGTTTTCTCACTGAGTCGGTGGTAATAATCAAAGAAAGTGAAAAATGGCCAAATAAGTGCAACGAATGTTGTAAAAGGAAGGTAAAAGGACTCTTTTTGACGTTTTTACTAGGGATGGCAATGGGTCGGGTCGGGTTTTTGGGCCACCCGACCCGACCCGAGAAGAAAGGGTTTTTCACCCGTGACCCGACCCGACCCGGCGAAATTAAGGTTTCACCCGACCCGACCCGACCCGAATATATGACTTAGAAATCCGACCCGACCCGACCCGAAATAATAATAAAAAAATTTTTATTCAATGAAAACAGTGACTTAATTGAAAAAAATTATATATGGAGGGACATTATTATAATTATCCCTAAATATATATGATAAAATTATATATATTTTTCGGGTCGGGTCAAGTCGGATTTTTTTCACCCTAAACCCGACCCGACCCGACCCGAACAGTACATTTAAAAAAAACCCGACCCGACCCGACCCGAACCCGAATTTTTTTAAAAAAAATTCGACCCGATCGGATCGGGTCGGATCGAAACCCGTCGGATTCGAGTTGAGTTGCGATCCCTAATTTTTACCAACTTCCTTTTCATCATCTCCTTAATAAAGCCGACATGAAAAATTAAAACATATATTTTATTTTAATTTATCAATTGTTTCATTAAATTTGAACTTTTTACTTATTTTATCTAAAACCGTCATTTTTAGCATCTTTTACCATCCCTCTAAATATCAAAAAATTAATCTCATTATTCTATATTATTTTATTAATATAATTTTTCTTAAAATCTCTATAAAATTCATAAAATTAAATTTAAAAAAAAATCATTTTTAACGATTAGAGGCTTTCTTGAATATAAACATTTAGTGTATTTGTTTGAAAATCTAAATGACCTTTCAGATTATTTTTTTTATGATTTTGAGAAAGTTTTGTAAAAAAAATCTATTCTAAGAAGAAATATGAATAAAATATAAATATTTTGATATTAATCTTGTCAAGAATAATGATTAGTAATGGATGATGATTGGCCGACAATAATAACTCATGGAATTAACTATTTTCTACCATAAAAAAATGACCTTCTCATCACATTATTATGGATTTAATGGCACATTTTCCTAATTAAACCTAAAATTAAATTTTTAAGCTTACATTGAAGTGTTTTAAAATTAAATGTTAAAATCAATATAAAACTTAAATTTGAGTGACTAACGGGCATAATTTACCCTATATTAATTGGATCAAGATAATTGGATCTCAATTCTAATGTGAGAGGTGTTTTACTGTTGATGGTTACAACCTTCTAAAATGAAATTTTGTTCTCAAATGGGAAAATTACGTGTTTTGTCCCGCTAATTGAGTACAAAAAGTAGTAGTCCAAAGAAATTTAATTTTCAGATATATGTTTAGATATCTAACTCGTCAAATAAGTTATATAATATATACAATACATTAATATTTTTTACATAAAAATAGAAACAATTACTAGTTTAACCATGAATATGTAAGTAAGTAGCAAAAATTAATAGTTTAAGTTGAAATGGTTCGATTTTCTTAAAATATAAGGATTAAATTGTAATAAATTAAAATAGAAGAACCAAATTTTTAATTAGACCATTTCAAATCTGATTTACTAGTATTATTGGAGAAGAAGAACACCGCAACGTGCTGTGTATAAAATGAAATTAATTAGGGGCAGAAATATAAACACAGGCACAGCTGAGCGTTGAAACTACGTTTTCTTGGCTCTTGATTTTGATTTTTTTTAAGAAGAATTTGAAGTACCTGAACACCTTGGGAAAGCAAAAGTGGAGCTATTTGCATCAATAGTTTCCTTATCCAATAATTTGAACATTCCCATTCTCAAGCTCACTGTAAGTGATGAAAAACTCATTTTCACTTTGATTCTTTCTTTGGGCTTTTAGCTGACTCTCAGGCAATTGAACTTCCAATTACTGCTTTAAAATTTGATCAAATTTTTGACTTCCCAGAACTAAATTTTATACTTGTGTTGGTTAACTAGTTTTGGAATTTTTGATTGGTAATGAAGATCAAAAACTAGGTTTCTAATCATTGTTAAATCATGTTGATTGAAGAAATGATGTTGAGATTGAACTTTTGAACTCTAGTTGTATTTGCAGTTTGGGAATGAATAGTTGAAATGATGGCAAGACAAATTTGAATTTCGAATTACAGCTTGAAAATTTGATCAAAATAATTGCACTCGATTGTTCTTTGACTTGCGTTGGGTTAATTATTTTGGAATTTTAGATTCGTAATAAAGATTTAATTGCATGTTTTAAATCATTATTAAAGCTATTAATTGGAGAAATGATGTTGAGATTGTCCTTTTGAACCCTAATTGTATTGCTGTTTATGTTTCTGCAGTTTGGGGATGACTATTTGATAAAATGGCAAGACAAAGTAATACCCTTTTTCTTGAACAATGGTTGAGAACTAATGTTGGTGGCATTAACCAAACTGTCTCCGGACATTCTTCTTCGTCGTCTTCTTCATCTGCCCGTGCCATCATCCAAGCCTGGTCTGAGCTCAGAGATTCACTTCAGAACCAAACATTTCATCCCCGTATCCTCCAATCATTGAAAACCCTCCTTAACTCGCAAGCTTCTCTCCACGTTGCCGATCCTCAAGCCAAGCTTCTTATATCTGTACTTTCATCCCAAAGTTTCGATCTTTCTTCTGAATCATACCCTATCTTGCTCAGGCTTCTTTATATTTGGGTCAGGAAGTCTGTCAGGCCATCTGTTGCGCTCATTGATTCAGCTGTGGATGTCATATCTAGTATTTTTGCTACTGAATATGGTTCGAAGAAAAGCCCTTCTTTTCTTGCTGAAGGTATTCTTATTTTAGGGGCCATTTCATTTATGCCTTCTGTGTCTGAAAACTCAAAAATAGCGTGTTTGGAGTTGCTTTGTAGGCTGTTGGAAGAAGATTACGAGTTGGTTAGATTAGGAGAAGAAATTATCCCGGATGTGCTGGCTGGGCTCGAATATGCATTATATTCTTCTGTGGATGTGCTTCTTGTTAGAGTTTTGAATTCTTTGCTGGGAATTTGGGGAAAGGAAGATGAGCCTCGTATTACAGTTCCTACTGCTCTAATGATCTTGCATTTGGTTGAATGGGTTGTTTCTGGTTACATAAAATCACGTTCCCTTAACAAAATTGAAGCCTTTTCACAGCGGACTTTGGGGACTTTGGAGGTGAGCTATGTTCCATTTGCTCTTGTTATGGTTGCGGCTGGAGTATTGAGAGCTAGTAGAAATGCAGCCAATGGCCAAGGGCTAGAGTTTGTTTCCGTACTACGGATTTCTGCAGAAAGTCGGATAGCCTTTGTAGCACAACAGTTTATTTCTAAAACTAAAGGATCTATAAAATCAGATGATGAGCCCGCAAATAGTCTTCTTCGACAATGTTTGTCATTAGCCTTGGCTCGAAGTGGTGCAGTGTCATTCTCTGCCCCTGTGCTTCTGTGCCTTGCATCGGCATTGTTAAGGGAAATCTTTCCCCTAAGGCACTTATATATGCAGATTCTCCAGTTTATCCATAGTAGTGGGTCTGAATTTGGGATCAATGAGATTAAAAGACATCTAGACGGCATTCTTTTTAAGGAAGCAGGTGTCATAACTGGTGTTTTCTACAGATGAGGAGAGCAAAAGTTTTTTGGAGAGTCTTATATGGGACTACTGTCGGGATGTTTACTCTGGTCACCGACAGGTTGCTCTGTTTCTTAATGAAAGAAACAATGAGCTAGTAGTTAATTTGGAGAAAATTGCGAAATCTGCTTTTCTTATGGTTGCGGTTTTTTTTGTAGGAATGGCAGGCCTCGTTAAAACCCCCTTCATGATTAAAGGATCACAAGGTGCTCCTTAATCAGCGGAAGGGGGAAAGAGTGCCTAAAAATTTCATTAATAACCACAAATTACAAAAACTTAAAAACAACCATACAATCTCTCTTGCCAATAACCAACCCAAAGCCTAACAAATAAACTAACCAACCAAACGAAAACATCATATCTATCCAATACCAGCCTTAGCTAAACTATCAGCCTCAACATTTGCTGACCTAGCAACCCATCTAATACTACCATTCAAACCTCTAATCGTATTGGCAATAGCTGTCACAATGTCTAAGTACACATAGGGACAGCGGTCAATACTCTTGACCCATTCCACTGCTAATTTACTGTCTGATTCAACAATTAACCTGTCCTTAAAACTCTGCTGAAACGGCGCAAAGAAGGATAACCCTTTCTTAATAGCCTTAAGTTCTATCAAAATAGGAGGACCTGGACCAGCAGCCTCTCGAAAGGAACCCAACACCGAACCATCATGAGCCCTTAGGATGCCCCCAACACCACTCTTCCTCCAGTCTGCAGTCACTGCCGCATCAACATTCAACTTGATAAAGCCCTTTGGAGGGTGAGACCAAGACACATGATGGTTGCGGTTTTTGCTTTGGCCGTAACAAAGCAGGGATTAAATTCAAACTTCTCGCAAGAGGCACAGAGGGAGCATTCAGTCCAGATATTAGTTTCTTTCTCTTGCTTAGAATATTTCCGACGAATACGTTTGCCGGAATATATGGATACAATTCGAAGAGTTGTTGCATGTGTTCAGGAAAACGAGTCTGCCTGCATCTCTTTTGTGGAATCAATGCCCACCTACATTGACTTGACCACTTGGCAAGGTATTTTCTTTTTGTTCATGAGAAGCCAATGTTTACGTAGCATTTTAATTGAGAGCTATGCTACTAAGTTCAAGTAATTTGCAACAGTTTAAAGTTCTCAGATGTCTTTCACGTTGTTGTGCTACAAACTGTGAGTTTTAGGTCGATTTGAATTTCATCTTGTAGACTTTTCGTCCAAACTGAAAATGGAGTATGAATGGTCCAAGGATGAGGTACAAACCGCTTGTGTTTTGTTTTATGTCCGAGTTATTCCGACTTGCATTGAACTAGTGCCTACTCTCGTGTTTAGGATAGTGGTCGCTCCATCTATGTTTCTGTATCCTAAAATACATGATTACTTTTACTTGTAAAGCTTAGGATTCATATTAAACTGTATAAACTTTGGTTCCTGATAACAATGGTGAATAGATACATGGGACATCCGAACGAAAAAGTAGCTCGAGCCTCACATTCGATGTTTGTAGCATTCATGTCTTAAGGAAAAGAACCTGATGAAGAACGAGTGTCGCTGAAGGAGCAACTTGTTTTTTATTATATGCAAAGATCTCTAGAGGTACATAAAACTCATTGAAACCGACAGCAAAATACCAAAACATGGTATCAAACTTGTGGGACTAAACTAATCTTCTTCATTGTTATGAATATAGGAATATCCTGGCATTACTCCTTTTGAGGGCATGGCTTCCGGAGTTGCAGCCTTGGTTCGACATCTTCCCGCTGGTAGCCCGGCAACATATTATTGCATTCACTGTCTTGTTGATAAAGCTAATAATATCTTAGGTGATTTGACCACTTTAAAGGACGATGACTGGAAAAACTGGCAAGGAAGGCCGGAACCTTGTAAAAAAATCCTCGAGCTGCTTTTGCGACTTACTTCCCTTGTCGATATACAGGTTAATACTTTTTCACAGTTCTTTTTGTCTAATTAAAATCTAAGTTGTCCCACTCTATTTTTCTTGAAGAAATTGTCTGGCATCTACGGGAGACGTATGTAAAAAGAAACGATCTTCCAAAAGAAACGATCTTCCAACACGGTTACGGGGATATGATCCACCAAGCACCTTCCAAATGCATGAAATAACTCGGAAAAAGTTGAACATACCCCATGTAGTCCGCATGCTTGTATGCCTAACACCTATAACCGAGATATTCTCGGATATAGGTACCAAGAAATGACCCTCCAAAGATATATATAAGCTTGGAAAACTTAACATATTTGTGCCTGAAACATACCTTTATATCTAACAATTACAACTGAAACTCTGGGCAATGACATACTAAATGGTATTGAATTTTACTCATCTATGTAGGTATTACCAGCTCTAATGAAGTCGTTGGCACAGCTTATTATCCAACTGCCAAAAACAGGTCAGATCATGGTTCTTAACGAGTTATATGCTCAAGTTGCTGAATCAGATGATGTCACTCGCAAGCCGGCTTTAGTTTCATGGTTGCAGTCATTGTCTTACCTTAGTTCTCAAGCAAAAACCGAGGTTTTGACCTCCAGAGGGAGAAAAGAAAACTCGGCTTCTCCGGGGACTATAGAACCGAATGCACGGCTGTGAGACATTCAGATGCTGTTCTTTTGATCAATGGCATGGCTAATTCTCCGATAGATGGCCCGGAACATGCATAGGGTTGCTGAATCCGATGATTCCAAGTCGTACCATGGTAGTGAAAGCGAGTAGTGGGGATCTGAATTGCAAATGGAGAAGAAATTAAAACAAATCTGCGTAGAATTCAAACACTCCGTTGATAAAATTTGGGTTTGGTCTGAACCTGATCTTATTATTAACGAATTTCCTCTTTGCTGATACTCGAGTCGGTCCAAACTATAGATAAAAAGTTCTATTTAGGTTTGGTTAACCATGTAAAATTATTACTTTAATCTATTCATGGGATGATAAAATTTAAGGTAAACCACTTATTTAGTCGGCCATCTATTATGTTATTTGTTTGATTATCTAATTATTTTCTTTTAAAATTATATCTAGTTTATGTTTTGATTTTCATTGACTTTTTTCAAGCTAAATTATATGTTGGTACTTTAACTATCATTTTTGTTTTATTTTAGTTATCTAACTATTATATTTTTTAAAATTAACTTAACGTTACGTTTTGGTTTCATTTTGATCACCTATCGTTAAAAAAATATAGAATTGTTGGCGTGGTATTTTAAAATAAATTCAATGATGAGGTGGCATCACTTTATTGTGACACATCAACATCATCATTAATTTTTTAACAATAGATGATTAAAATGAAACTAAAACATAATGTTAAGTTAAGATTTTGAAATAAAAAATAATTAGGTGACCGAAACAGAATAAAAATAATAGTTAAAGTAGTAAATATGAAATTTACCCTTTTTTAAGATTGATGCTAACATAACATGATGCGATCTATTTAAATATATTTTTAAATTTTACATCATCTTCTCTTTCATCAATATCACAGTGATAGTTTTTTTTGAGAGAAAATAATCTCAGTGACCAAAAATCCCATATAATATACGATTTTAACCAACTTTTTCCGGATTTGCCAAAATGACCAACAAAATCGCAATGTGATCGCTAATTCGCAACGCGATCTCCATTATCGCAAATTCGCGTTGCGATAGTTGAAAATCGCGTTGCGATGGTCTACAGTATCGTTGCGATTTTCCCAATTCGCAATGCGAATAAATAAATCGCAACGTGAATTGGGAAAATCGCAATGCGATACTGACTATTGCAATGCGATACTTACTATCGCAATGCGATAATACAAAATCGCAACGCGATTCTGACTTTCGCAACGCGATAATACATAATCGCAATGCGATTTTCAAAGCGCCATTAGTATCCTGGTCAAGTATTTTATTTTTAAATTCCAAACACGAATATTAATATATTGGAACACTGAACCGTCCACAGTATATCCCGTAATCGCAACTCATAACCTAAAACCTAAAATCACAACTCAGTCCCATCTCCATCTCTCACTCTCTCACCCATCTCCGATGAAATCCGTCCCCATCTCCGGCGAAATCCGTCTATCTCCATCTCTCAGAGCCACCCTCACAATCAGAAATGGAAAATCAACCACGAGGGTTAGTTATTTTAATTATTTTCTTTTTGAAATTTTTGCATTATTATTAGGTTTTTCATATTGAAATTGATGATAAGTTTACTGGTAATTTCAATAATAGATTAACCATTTCACTTAGATTGCTTATTAAATCAACCGAGAATCGCAACGCGAAATGTAAATCGCAACGCGATTTTAGTTTCGCGTTGCGATAGTCATTTTCGTGTTGCGATTTTCATTTTCAGAAACTATTCTTTTTCTGCAAATTGAAACTTGAATGAATTGCATTACTTCAACCAAAAAACAAAGACAAATACGAAATTCACAGTGTTGCAAATTTAAGTTTGAAGAATAAACTACTACTCTTTATGTTTATTATTGTTTTTGGTATATCTTCACAGTGTAGTTTTTGGTATATCTAAATTAGTATGTTTATTGTTTTTGTAGAACTTTTATTCGGCTCAATTGACCTTAAGAAATAAAGTCAGCCTGGCCAAAACAATTGCGTCGAAGCTTTTACCTGCACAAAGAAAAATGTTTGAGGATACATGCTTCGGGCCATGGCTGAAAGTACAACATCCCGGTAGAGATGCGATGTTGACACACCTGTTTCTTCAAACCATGACTAGCGATCTACCAGAGACTATACAACGTCGTGATGAAGAGATATGGTTTGATTTTCCACCGGCGTATAAGTGTTTTGGGCGGGAGGAGTTTTGCTTAATCACCGGTCTACGCTTCGGACACGATGATGTAGGTCGGTACACTAGACACATTACCCGCCCATCATGGCTATCCCGGGTTTTTCTTGAGCTGGAGATGTCGAATCTACATGTAGAAGACCTGACAAGATTGTTGAATAAGAAAGATGGTTTTACTCGGATGGATGACGTCGACGTTGTCCGAGTATGCCTTCTAATTCTTTTGCATGCCGGCTTTTTAGGCAGAGATGCCATACAACCTATTCCAAATGATCTAATCAAATTGGTAGAAGACCTAAATGCGTGGAACCTATTTCCGTGGGGCTCGTATTTATGGAAAGCTACATTGAATAAGTTATCGTCTGCCTTGGATGATCGAAAAAGTTTGCATGGCGATGGTTCCAAATACACTTTGACAGGCTTTATTTGGGCCTTTAAGGTAAGAATTTTTATATAATGTTTCCAAAATTATAAGTAATTATTTAACAATTACTAATGTTTGTTATTATATTGTTTGTAGATTTGGATATTTGAGGCCTTTCCCGCCATGAAGACATATGCAATAAAAACTTCAAATGATATTCCCAGGGCTATTTCCTGGAAGAGGAAACGGACCTTGCAATGTGAAGATTTACTACGGTATACGACAATAAATAATGTAAGTTAACATAAATACTACCATATGTTTATAAACAAGTTATTACTAGTACACGTTTAACTTTGTTTGAGCTTTTATATTGTTAGGAGGCCAACACTCCTCTACAGAGGCTGACACCCACGGAAGCTGAGCTTGCCACTGATTGGTGGCAAGCTAGTAAGCGTTTTTTTGATGGAACGGTTGATGAGCAGCCTCCACTTTGGGAGCCATCACCTTGCCCAGAGCTATCACCTCACCCAGAGCCATCATCTGATCGACCCGACTATACACCTCCACAACGACAGCCATCACCTATTCTGTCCCATCATCAAGCCTCTTCTCCACCATCACCGCAAGATAGGCGACCGGCAAAGATGCCACGACGTTTATCTCCCTGTTCTCCACCTCCACCTCAACGGGATGAGTTAGGGGAGTTACGTGATGAGGTCAATGCCTTGCGTGAGGAGGTCGGTACTTTACGCAAAGACGATGGTGCATGGCGTGTTGAGGTGTCTACATTACGCGGTGAGGTAGCCGCTCTACGTGAGATGGTAGCATCGTTGCAGAATGAGGTTCATACTCTACGCAACGAGGTAAGTTTAAGATTTTTCATACTCGTAATTCATTCGGTTGCTGCCAATACTGCTAAACTGTTTTTGTTAGTATTTGTTTTTGGTTTTGTTTTTGTCTTTTGGTTGAAGTAATGCAATCCATTCAAGTTTCAATTTGCAGAAGAAGAATAGTTTACTTGAGCAACAAGAAAATGACTATCGCAACGCGGAAATGGCTATCGCAATGCGAAATGAAAATCGCAACGACAAAATCGCAATGCGAAATGAAAATCGCAACGACAAAATCGCAACGCAAAATGAAAATCGCAATGCGATTTGTGTTTCGCGTTGCGATTTTGTCGTTGCGATTTCATTTCGCATTGCGATTTTGTCGTTGCGATTTTCATTTTGCATTGCGATTTTGTCGTTGCGATTTTCATTTCGCATTGCGATTTTGTCGTTGCGATTTTCATTTCGCATTGCGATAGCCATTTCCGCGTTGCGATAGTCATTTTCGCGTTGCGATTTTAAGTTTCGTGCTGCGAAAGTAAACTATTCTTCTTCTGGAATGTTTATATATGTTGTCCTTTTAAATGTTTATATAAGTGCTTACTTCTGGAATGTTATCTGAGCATTTTGTGAACTATGATAGAATAATGACTTGGGTGAATACAATGCTAGTTTGAAACATATTTGTCTTTGTTTAATATCATGTCTGTTTATTTACTCATTTATGTATTAATTTTTTTTAGCGGCCCGATAAGGTGGATGCTTTACGTCGGGTTTTCCTTGCACGACGGAGTTCACGCATCAGACGGCGTGGACGTGCTATTACGTCTCCGTTCACCCTAATGGTGCGAAGACTCCGCAAGAAGAAGCCCGACTCACCTGTCATCCCTCAAGAGTCCCCTCCAATCGTTCAAGAGGCCCCTATCCTCCCTCAAGAGTCCCCCCCACCGTTCAAGAGGCCACTGTCATCGTTGAAGAGGTCCCTCTCACCATTCCAGAGCCCGATTCACATGGGGTAATATATCGAAGTATTGAGAAACCCCCACCGGTTCCGGACATGATGGATGAGAGTTGGCTCTCGTATGAGTTACCGGCTAGTACCCTTCCGGTATCTGAAGTGGAGAGGAGACAACTACCGGAAATAATTGTGGATAATACCCTTTGGGATAAGACCGCAGTTGATTTTTATCTACATGAGCGGAGCCAAGGGTGTTACACTGAACATAAGCAAACTCAATGATGAAATGTTTTTGTTGCTTGATCGGTCTTGGTGGGGTGTGCTATTAGGGGTTTAAGACAGTGGCTATTTCGATGGGGAGGTAAGTATTATATTTGTCTTATATATGATTTTGATTAATTTTTTTTAAAAATTAATGTAATTCACTAATATATGTATTTTTTTTTGTAAAACAGCATATCGATGCGTGGGTGTCACGTCTACTAATAATAAGGAAGCTTAGGAAAAATAAAAAAAATTCACGATATACAATAATGCCGGCGGCTTTTCACGCAGTTCACTTGAAGAATCAACGAGATGAATCATTTTCGTTGGGCAACGGACAAGCTAAACTTTATCCTGCATGGTGGGAGGTCGATACGGTTAGTGTTTATTTTTTAAATTTTTTAAAGGTGTTCATAAATAAGTGCGCAAATAAATGAATTATTACTTATGATTGCAGGTGTTTATCCCTGTTTTGGAACGTCGTCATTGGCTTCTCGTCCAACTTTAGCT